ATTCTGGGCCAGCTTTAGCTCTGAGGCTTGGCTCCAGCTCTGAGGCCTCGGCTGCTGAAAGCAGGTATCTGGTTTGTTTGGGTTCTATAATTGAAACATTGTTTCAACTCCAGCTCTGAGATCCCAGCTGGCTGAAAGCAGGTTTCTGGGGTTTTGTTTAGCTTCTATATTTGTAACAATGTTTTAAACTGCAAGCTCAGAGGCCGGCAGTCGCAGGCAGAGAACGTTGGCTTCCTCCATCACTGAAGCAAGCAAGCCTACTGTTCGCTTCAAGCTGCCTTGCTGCCGGCCGCCATCTTGGTTGGCAGTTAATTTGCATATCGCCCTGATTAGCCAATGGGAAAGGTAGCGGAGGTACGGCTAATTACCATGTTTCTCTCTTATTAGATAGGATTATAAAAGCCATAACATATAGACAGTGACGAATTTCCCAGTAGTGATCTACTGAGAGCCGCAGTTCCTTTTCTTATAGAAACTGTGTAAAGACATTTTCTCAGTCTTGGGACGTACATTTTTGATCTGCAACATGTCTGCCTGTAGCCTAACACCCTGGGTCCAGAACTGTTTCCAGGTTCCTCAGAGTGAGGAGGACCTGAGCATGTGCCCTGGTGCCCACACCACTGCCAGCCCTGCTTCTATTCTGGGGTTGGCAGAATCGTTGACTAGCCCAGAACCAGAGCAGGCCTGCCTTCTGCAGTGGATACTCAAGGTGTGCTGGAATGGGTGTTTTCCCTCAAATAATTTGTGGTTTTGACCTGTTTTTAAGCAATTGCAACAGTTTCCCTTTTAGGATGTTAAGGTTTGAGAAATGCTGGGGGAAGGTGTGGGTCATCCCTGTTGCCTGCCCTGCTGTCTGCTTGAATCCAGCAGAGGCGAACATAAGGGACACTCTGCATGAGTAAAAAGCTCAAGGTAAATCCAAGACAATTTTGGTAGTACTTTTCCAGCTCTTAGGTAGTGTTTCCTTTAGCAGTAGTGTTGATGGTAGGGTATTGTGTCCTGTAGGTACATATTTTACTGCGCTTGATCTTGGAGTCTTGGAGCATGGCAGTCTTTTTGTATAGTGATAGATTGAGAGATGTGTGAAAAAGGAGCTATCATAAGGCATCTACAGCAAGTGAGGCCAATTTTATATATTGAGACAAAAAGGCAGGGTTATGTGTTGAATGAAAAACAGGACAAGCTTATGAGACATGTATCACTTTGACCTTGAAACATTTGCCCAGTCTCTCCTCCTTATCTTTAGTCTAGAGATGATTTAATGCCCAAATAAAGGGACCTACTGAAACGTTAAGTCGTTTCGGAAATGAAGAAATGCTGGTTTTATACAGCACGTAAAGATAAATAAGAACCAAATGAACCAGAAAGGAAACAAAGAATGTCTTGGGGTGGCCCAATAACCCTTCCTCGCCTGCCCCATGCTCCCATTTGATTTACGGTTTCTAAGCTCCTTGCTCCAGCCCATTAAAGATAAAGACAGGCAAAGGGAAGGGGAAAAATAGGAAAAGGACCTCTGGGTGATGATCAACTGAAAAAGTGGGCAGTCAGTTTGTGGAGCCATAGCCAGCCCTGCCCCCAAGGCAGTTAATTCTGAGATGATAACTGAATTTCTGTAATGAAAGTGGTCGTTACATTAACTTTGAGCCTTCAGGAATGCAAACACTGCTCACTAAAGATCTCTCTATGTGGTAGAACTTTTAAAAGACACTTAACTGTATAAGTCTTCAATTTCTCGTAGGTGGAACTCTTCCTTGTTCCTCAAATGCAGGCAAGGGAGAGTGGAGTAAAATAGCACCAAATGTTTTAGTCTCTGTAGACCATGACTCTGGGTGTTTGGTAACATAATTAAAGAATGTGGTGGAATGGAATTTATAAGCCCAAAGACAGCTCTGTAATAGTGGCCTATGAATTGCTTTCTCTCAACTTCTTTGCACAGCTAGAATATCCATTCCACGGTTATTCTAATGTAGATGGTGCATGCACTTGTCTTTTCGTGCTGTGTAAAGTCTCAGGGTGCTGCACTAAGTGTTTTCAAGTGGAAGGGTGTTGCATATAACTGTACGCCTCTCTCTGATGAGAAGAATTTAGTTGACACAGGGCCATGCAAAGCATTGCTCACCCCAGAAATATATTCATCTGAATAAAAACATGCTGAGCCAGGCCGGCGTGACTCAGTGGTTGAACATCGACCTTTGAACCAGGAGGTCACGGTTCGATTCCTCGGTCAGGGCACATGCCCAGTTGTGTCTTGATCCCCAGTATGGGGTGTTTAGGAGGCAGCCGATCAATGATTTTCTCTCATCAGTGATGTTTCTATCTCTCTTTCCCTCTACCTTCCTTTCTGAAGTCAATAAAAATATATTTTTAAAAACCACACATGCTGAGGTCATTACTCATCTTCTGAGTAATTACAGTGACCCATTTTTCTCTTCTATCTGGGCCATCTCCCACCATTCTGATCGTGTGCCTTAATTCTACTTTCTCTGAAGAAGGGAAATTATTCCTTCATGACATTTTGATGAAATTATTAAACCTTGTGATAATACTAGAGGGTTTTTTCAATTACCTTTAAAAATTTTTTGTATGAAGTTTCTTTTCAATGAAGTAATTTTCAGTGAATGCTTGTCATCTTGAAGTGGCCAGAGTATTTCTTTACAGATGATCCTATGTTGTAGGAGAAAAATGAATTAATTAAGTTAAATGAATACCAGAGTGTTTTTATTGGAGAAGTATGTATGGTAGCAGTGTAAATACTTTTAAAATTCATCTTGTAAAATTGTGCAATATTTCAACATGTTCACTTGTCTTTCTATACTGGTCTTGGCTGTCAATATTAGTGATTATTGATTTGGTGTGAACTCCTGTGGAAAACTTACAAATTCTTGAGAGTGTTGGACATAAAGTATTTTTAGATCAAGCATGTCAAATTCACGGCCGGCGGACTGCATGCCTCATTTAAACAAAAGGCATGTGGCCCGCTGGCCGCGATTTTGACATGCTTGTCCTAGATAGTTGTAATAAGATGTCTCCAAATGTTGCCAAGTATCCTGAGGGGACCACGCTGAGCCTGGTTGATGACTGCCGGTCTGATGAGAGGGATGTGAGCAGAGATAACACCTGAAAGCATGTTGTCTGGCAAGGAAAGGATGAGTTTGGTTGAGGTTGTCACCTTCTTAAACAGCTTTTCTCAAACTACTGTGCACACATGTTACTTGGGGATCTCGCGGAAATGAACACTCAGATCCCATAGGTCTGTAGTTGGTGTGATGTTGGCCCAGTGACCACATTTTCAGTAGCATGTTTGTTTTTTGAAGATCCTGTACACAGGGTACATTTAACATTTGGTGAGGAGGGTAAAAAAAAACACCTTGTTTTTCTTTACTGTAGTTAGGACTCCAGATAGGAATCAGTTCCATTATAGGTAGCCCTGAAGTCTAGGATTCTCTTTAGTCTATTCATTCAGATTTCGTCATCAATAACTCACTCTCATGGTTTCCTGGAAATGTAATTATGTATGTTATAGAAATCTACTTGAGAATAAGTGATAAAGAAATCTTATATTTTCTGTAATATTCCTAAAATGTCATGAAGTTCTCTTTAGGGAAAAAAAAAAGGGATGAAGTTCCTTGTGGAGCAAAATTACATGTGGTCCACGGTGGTGCTGAGCATGATCTGGTCAGGATGAGGTGTTCTAGCTTCATGGCAGCACTTAGTCCTGGGGAGGAAGGAGGAGAAGGCTGGTGTAGGGTGGTTGGGCTTTTGCTATATTTCTGGTATTTCATCCCTTAAATTTGGAAACCATTATGGCTAAATATTACTACCAGTTAACACTGAGTGAATGGGTACATTGGTTTTGCAAACATTAGTTTCTGCACTTTTATTTTTTATATTTGAAATATTTCATAATTAGAAAGAAATGTATATGGAGAATGAATTGCTTTCAAATCACCCTTTTCTCAGCGCCCGCCTCTGATGAGCATCCTTCTTCCTGTCCTTTGTTCAGTTCTTAGGAAATGACAGTCTGGTGTCTTCTCCTACCTCTTGCCATTCCAAGTCCAAGCATCAAAAGCTTTAACCGATGCCCCAGATCTTTTCATATTTGTCTCCCAATGACTCTTATAACGCTAGAAAATAGTATAGGTGTGTGTAATCATTGTGTACATTGCTAAATGGACTAAAGCCATTTTCTCATCACTGCTGGTTTTATCTCCCTTGTCCTGATTCTACTCTTTATTTTCCTTTTTGATGCCAGTATGTGATGGTTTCCAGAGCAGTTAGAATGGGTTGAATGGAGGGATTTCTGTAAGGACTGCATTGTCAGTCTTGACATATTTAGTAATAACTTGCTATTAAATATCTTATATATATATATTTTATTGTCTAAAGTTTTACATATGTCAGCCCCCACCGCCCCAGTGTCTGTGTCCATTGGATATGCTAAAATGCATGCATACAAGTCCTTTGGTTGCTCTCTAACTCCTCCCCTCCTCCCCCCTGCACACCATTTGTCTCTGGATCTATTCTTGTTCATCAAATTATGTTGATCATTATATCCCACATATGAGTGAGATCATGTGATAAATATTTTATATTTTATCTTTAAAAATCTTTTATACTATTCAATTGTCTTAATTCTAAGTATGTCGTCATGCTCCTGGCCTTTCTATTTTTTAAAAAAGATATATTTTATTGATTTTTTTACAGAGAGGAAGGGAGAGGGAGAGGGATAGAGAGTTAGAAACATCAATGAGAGAGAAACATTGATCAGCTGCCTCCTGCACACTCCCTACTGGGGATGTGCCAGCAACCAAGGTACATGCCCTTGACCGGAATCGAACCCGGAACCCTTTAGTCTGTAGGCCAACTATCCCCTGAGCCAAACCGGTTAGGGGGCTCCTGGCCTTTCTTATTCCAAGGTCAGTTGGATATTTTAGAATTTCTTGTGTCTTGACTTTTGGCCCTGCCTCTTTCCCCAATGTCCTTGTGGGTTAGTAAATAATGTTCTTTGCTTCTAGGCCCAAGACCTCTGTTAAGAGGAAGTCATTACAAGTATGCCAGTTTATTTCATGGAAATCACTATATTTTTCTCTGTAACTGACCATCCCTCTTGCTTCTCATAAAGTTGTTTCTACTTGCTCCTTATTAAATTCTCACAGTGGCTGGCTCCTTCTGCTCTCCTCGTGGCTTTTGGTCTGAGCTCCCTCTAGCTCAGCTGGGGAAGCTCACTCTCTCCTTCACCTGAAAGAATAAGCCTCTTATCTTCCTTCATTGCCCTGAACATTGAATGTTTGACACTCACAGCTTCCATAGGCTGCCAGGGACATCACTTATAATTTATCCTTCTTTCCCCACTTACTTTTCCTAACCTCTCTGTAGCACTTGATGGTATGGATTTCTCCTTGTTGAACTCTTGTGTTCTTAAGATGCATTGTAACCTTTGGCTTTGCATATTCCAGTGGTTCTCAACCTTCCTAATGCCGCGACCCTTTAATACAGTTCCTCATGTTGTGGTGACCCCCAATTTCATTGTTACAAATTGAACATAATTAAAGCATAGTGATTAATCACAAAACAATATGTAATTATATATGTGTTTTCTGATGGTCTTAGGCGACCCCTGTGAAAGGGTCATTCGACCCCCAAAGGGGTCGCGACCCACAGGTTGAGAACCACTAGCATATTCCCAATTTTCTTCCTTTGCCAAGACCTTCTGTTCATTTGCTTATCAGAACATGTTTGCTAGGCACTGTGGAAATCCATCGGCCAAGGGACCTCTCAGGAAGGTCACAGTCTAGAAGGAAGCTGAACAAAGTGGCACTTCGGGGTGCAGCAGGGGCTGTCATGGGAGGCAGCAGCACGGAAGCAGAACGAGCACCAGCACCAGCCAGCTTCAGGAAGGGTGAGAGCACGTGACAATGAGTGCGGACAGTGTGCTCCCTCCAGTTAGTCAGGCAACGCGGGAAAGGGGGGGAGTTTTGGGCAGAGAGAGCTACTAGGTACATTCACCAAGACACTTGAGGTGATGGCACAGTGGGGGGGACATGGATTGCCTGAAATTTGGGGTAACACAATAGAGTCTTGCCAGTGAGTTTCTTTTACCTCTATCATGCAAATGAGCGCACAGATGCTTCGAATGCCAAGTAACTCACCAAAAGCAAATTGGGCAGCTAACATGACTAGACAAGTTCAAACTCAGATCAGTTCAGCTCTAGGCCAGTGGGGCTGTATGGGCAGCATATTTTGTGCTTGTTGATGAGTCTGAGCATGTACACAGGCCCTTCAGCAGTCTTCTGCAGTCTTGCCTTTAGGAGTCACTTAGACCCTATTTTTTAAGAGAAGATGCATGTGTGCGTGGGAGTTTGTGAGTGTGTGTGAGTTTGTGAGTGTGCGTGACCTGCTTTTGATCAGGGTTTTCAGTGGCTACAGGTGTGGATTCCTTCACTCTCTCCAGTTAGCCTCCAGGTGCCACAGCATGGAGAACCTCCGTTTTATTTGCCATTTTCTGAAAGTAGAAATGTGTTTCTGACTTTTGATTTTGACTCGGCTTTCTATGTCCTGCACTGATGTCTAAGTAAAGGCATGGAATCAACTGTTCCTAGTGGAGTTGAGAACAAAAGACATTAACCGGCAGGGGTGGAGCCTGCACTGGGACCCAGAGCTGCTGCAGGGGTTCAGGTGCCTGTGCACTGGTTCCCTGGGCCCTGGAGCGGCGATGTCTCTGCTTGCTGCTGCTGCTCACTTTTGTGAATCCTCAGTCAGCTCTGACTTGATTTTCCTGACTCCTGGCCACCATGGCCCATTGACTTCCCCTTCAGTTAGAGTCTAGGTCATTGACAAAATGCTTGAATTTAACTCATAATCGGATGAATGATATTGTCACATACTTTGAGAAACTGCTAGTTCTTACATTAGAAATATCCCCATGTGTTTGTTAAGCTGAATTGCAGCACCTAAGAGCTTCCTCTTTACCAAGGCATAAGCTTGACTCTGTTTTGACTGCCAGGTCCTTCCTGGGCCTCCTATTCAGACTCTAAAACTCACAAAGATCAAAACCCTGAGTCGTTGCTACAAACAGAGCCAACTTTTGATTATGCGTGATAATGGGCAGAGTAATGGTTAATGGCTAAAAGCTGATAAAGCCCAAACTGAGTCTTAACTTTTAATTCCAACCACTTCCCCTAAAACACTTTTAGCAGAACTCGTAGCAAGGCATAAGACCAGCACATTTAAGAACTTGGATCTGTCTTCATTTCTTGTGGTTGTACAGATGCATCATGGGAGCTGCTGAAGAGGGCAAGGTGTGGGGCAGGCACCAAACTTTTAGGGCCATGAAAATGGCCCCCCCATCACTAGCCTCCAAACCATCTGGAGTGTCAGGATTGTTTTGTGGGGATTTTTTGTCTATGATTTTTGGTATAGCCCAGGGTTTCACAACCTTGGCATTGTTAACATTTTTTGTTCCAGTTCTTTGTGGTCAAACTGTCCTGTGCATTGCTTAGCTGCATCCCTGGCTCTGTCCATTAGGTGGCAGAGAGTTCTTTTAGATCAAAGAACTCTCCAGGCAGTTCGAAATGCTTCCAAGTTGAGATCTACTGGAATAGCCCCTTAATGGTAGGTGGGTTTGATATCATTTTGATATAGGAAGAGAATTTAGTCAGCTCTTT